ATTCGAAGCTGCTGACCCTGAAGAATCTCATCATTTCCGCGCGAAAGGGACCATCAAGCAGCACTGTGTAATTCTTGGACACTCTGCCAGCTGGCAGTGCCCTCAATGATGCGATGGACTTGCCCATCCCAGGCTCAGCATGCACAGCTGTGCACCCTGATCGATTGACGGCCAGAACTTTTGTCATCAGCTTCTGGAATGGAGTATCATCTACTACCCTCGTACCCATATTGGCTTGCCGCTGAGAACTAATCCCCAGGACTGAAATTGTTTTGTTGTTGTCTACGGCAAGCACGATCTCTTCGCAAAGTTTTTCCACATGCTTCAAGACGTTATCGTCGGTGCTTTTGTCGACCTCGAGCTTCAACTCTGCTCCGGGCATCACTGACGACCACTTTTGAATCAAATCAGCGAACTGCCCCACTTTGTTGAAGTTCTCCACCGCTGCAAAGCCAGTGGCGATAGCTGCTGCTATGCTCTCTCCTCCAGGAAAAGCGTAGCGCACATGGCTACGACCTGCTGGGTGTGTCGTGTATCGAGCGCCAGGCCGAACAAAACAACGAAGATTGAAGAAATGCGAGGTCGCAGTGAGAGTCAAAACCAAGGCAACCATTGCTCGGCTTCTCGGACGGGACATGGTTCAAACAGATTTAAAAGATTAACAATCTAAAAACTAACGGGGCGCTCTCACAGGTTGTGTTGAGCTAGTCCGACAGCTAGGACTGAAGCCTGGTTCTTTCGTTTGCTGAATGCCAGCGATATATTTGCTGCGATCATGCTACAGCCAAGGGACAAATGCTGTGCACGAGCAACTGCGTGCCACAACAAGATTAGCCTGATGCAAGCCATGCTAGTCCCATAAAACTGCTGTGACTGTTTGTCCAGCAGTTGAGTTGCAGAGTCAAACACTAAACAAGTTTGATGGCAATTTGAAGGGTGCTGGAATATTCAGGTTTCAGAAACACACATGTTTTGTTCGGTGGTGTTTCTCTCCTTCCGTGAGCTGGCATCATTGCACCGCTCACAACAAGCTTGCCGTTCTTGGTGGTTTGTCTGGTTTTATATGTCCGCCGCACATCATGAACATTTGCAGCAGCAGGGTAGTTTGCAAAGGATCTGCACAAACAATAATATGCCTGCTGTTGTCTTGAGGAACTAGCATGCTTGACTTGCCGCATAAGAGTATCCTGCTTGATGTCATATTGCATTTTATTTCAAAGTCATGGCACTGGCTTCACCTTTCCATGAAACTTAACCCAAGACCTTTCAGATCAAACTCAATGTCAAAAACTTGTTTGTAGATAAAACAAATGCCTTCTGTGATGAACTGAACACTTCCGTCTCGCATCAACTGGTTTTGCTTTGGCGCTTGAGCACTTTCCGTGTCGATTTGGGTTTGAATGTTTGGCTTGGGAAAAGCATGCAGAGGTTTCGGAAAAAATCTGGCTCGGATTTAGGGAAATTGAGTCCGTTGGCGAAAAGGGGCTCCGTGTTTGGGAAGAACTGGCTCGGTTCTTGGGAAAATTTGTCACTGATTTTGAAAAATGTGACACTGATCTTGGGCAAAACTGCCACCGACTTTGGGAAAATCTGCCACCGACTTTGAGAACATCTGCCACCGACTTTGAAAAAATCCATCACCGACTTTGGAAAAAAATTGCCACCGACTTTGGGAAAATCTGCCACCGGCTTTGGGAAAATCTGCCACCGACTTTGAGGAAATCCGTCACCGACTTTGGAAAAAATCTGCCACCGACTTTGGAAAAATGTGCCACCGGTTTTGTGAAGCTCCGTTTTTGCGAAAAAAATCCTTCAGTACAGAGTTTCCATCCTAGCTTTCACCAGGGCCACAAGCTGCCTTCTTCCATCGCTCTCCCCACGACAAAACGCGCGACATGCTTGTTCTATTGTTGTGATCACTCTTTCTGTTTCTTTTTGAGTTTTTCGAGTTTTCCCACTGTTCCTCTTCCACACTTCCCCCAACCCCTGCTTGACCGCGACATTCCTTATTCCTTTTCCTTTCCGCAGCCTCACTTGACTCAGGCGCGAGTCCATATAAGCCACATCGTAGATGTCAAGCAGCGAGTGCACCACGCCAAAGCAATTCGACTGCCCTCTCCAACCCATACAAAGGAGGGAAGTGTCAGTCAGGTGTCGTCACTGCTCAGAGACCAACATGCCCACATGTACGCAATCCTAGTAAGCTGACACAGGCGAGAACCTCAGTTCTCGACCTGTGTCCGCACGCGATGGTAGGAAAGATAGATGGTTGGAACCCAGTGAGAACCTTGGTTCTTGGCCTGGTGAGGGTCCGTACCCTGCCAACCCTGTACAAAGTGGGCAAACGGCACCACACTAGCCTTCCAAGTTTCACCATGTTTCACTAGGGCCGTGCATGAAGGAGGCGAGTCGTTTGATGAATCGGAGTGCTATCCAGCCAGGATAGCGCATTGCACATTTGCTGCGCTCCCGTAGGCTTAGCTGTTGAGGAGCGTGCTCGAAATGTGCACACCTGCTCTCTCTGTCGAAGGAGCTCCGTCAGGCGCCGGATGGCGCACCTGAAAGCAATGACTACCACAAGCAAGCTGCCCGCCATAGGCCACAGCTCTTCCTGCTTTCGCAATTGCTTAGAACGATTGTGTCCAGGGCAAAGCTGTTTTTTTATTTATTTTTTTTAAGTTGTTTTCCGTTGTGTCTGCGGCTTTTGGGTGGTTTTGGTGGGTTTGTTCTTTTCTGTCGGTGCTTGGTTGTTTTCGACTGCAACCTGGAATGTAACTCTCTTTACTAGCATAAGATGACCTGTGCAATCTCTGCACGCATGGCGTCTCCACCCGTGCAAAAACAAACAGGGCAAAGCTGTTTTCCAAGACCTGACCTGCATTGCTCTTTGATCATCGAGCTCCGACTAGTTGCACTCCTAGGGAACTTCTCCGGCACAGCTCACAGTTGGAAGCTGCAAGATAGCTTGAGCACTTGCGCCAGCAAGTGCTTGTGACGTGGCCTGTCCGCATACAGGCCGTTCGCGCAATGCCTCTTCGGATGCAAACCGACAGCAGCTTGAATTTGAATTCGTGGCCCAGGTTGCAAATAGCCGCAGTTCCCTTCTCACCAAGTCTCACCTATGATGCACAGAGATGAAACTCCCCTGTTCTCCGCGTTTTCTGTGTTTTGGTTTTGTTGTTTTGTTTGATGGTTTTGGGGGGTTTTGTTGGGTTGGTGTTCTTCTTGGTTCTGCTTTTTCATTAACAAAAAATGACCTGTGCACACCGCACACATGGCGTCTCCACTCGTGCAAAAAAAAGTGTGACCTTGTTTTGTTGTTTTTTTTTGCACGGGTGGAGGCGCTGTGTGTGCCGAGAGGCACAAGTCACCTTGATTGAATTAAATTAGGAAACTAATGAGATACGAGCCTAGCAACAAAGAGAGGCACCACACCACAAAACAAACAAACCCAAAACCCCACAACAACCACCAACCCAAACAAACCCAAAAACCAGGCTCGTATCTTCGCAGGGCTATAAAAGCCGAAGCAAAAGTTGTGAGAGAGAGGTGAGACGGGGCATTGAATTCGTTCTTCCTCCTGCGCTCAGTCAGTACTTGAGGATCAAGAAATCGCGAAATTCCTTTCTGTGGGCAGTGAGTTCATGCGTGACACTGTTGATGCTTGCCAAGATGTGCAAGGAGTGCCCAAGCATGTGCCGGAGTTTTGGAACTTTGCGAGCCTTGCAATGTAGCTTGGCACTGCGTGACTTATTTCCAAGAACACGGCTTCGCCAAAGCAAGTTACTGTTTGTTCCAAGTTGGCATTTTCAAAATGGCACATACCGGCATCAGCATGCAGCTGCATTGCCACTTCCAAGCTTCGGTATCGTGATTGGCAGCAAATAGGTTTGAGACAGGGGATGATCCTCACTGTCTCAACTCACTGTGATCAAAATTCCCAGGAATTGTTGTGGAGAGCACGGTTGATGGAGCATGCCAAAATGCATTGAGAGCATGTCGTTGAGAGAAGGGCGCCACGGACAATCGAGCGCCAAGCTTACGAGGGCCATGACCTGCAAGGGACATGGGACAAGATGAACAAAGTCGAACGGTCTCTCCTCCTTTGCCCCCCCCTAAGGAGGAGGGCGGAGACAAGAGAACGCCCCATGACTGTGGCTCCAAAATGGCGAACGGGAGCAACAATGACGAAGCGAGTGTGACAATGCGTCGCACTCCGGAAAAGTCAGCAGGTACAACTCTGTTGGCAATGCTCGACAGGCTCAGCATCTCCATGTTGCGATTCGAGCACACTTGAAACAGATGAAGACGTGCACGCCCCATGAACCAAGTGAAACGGTGAAACGCCGCTATGCCAGGTCCTAGGAACTGTACATCTGTACTCTATGTATTCATCCAAGACCACCCGTTGGGAGGCAGCCCTGGGTACTGTCCAGCCACTCAGTATGGGCAGCAAGTTGACAGAGGCCGATTGGCAGGTTTGCTGTTGGGTTGGTCGTCGTTTCAGACCCTGCACGTGGGTGCAAGTCTGGGCTGTCAAGCTTCCCTCTGGTGCGTTTCTGCGCAGCCTCTCATGAAGTTGGCCCACTCCTCCTTCCATCAGTTGGCTTTGGGAGCAGCCGAACCCACGTTGGGATCTCTAGTTGACTGCATTTCTCAAAGGCATTGTGCTCTGCACATGTCCCTCTCCACGTGGTTTGTCTCCCACTGTAAGGAGTGGTCAGAGTTGTGCAGCCTGCAAAAGCCTGGCTAGCAACATAGAGCAGGGTTGGTGGAGCATGTAGCTCACTCAATGATTCGCAGTTGAGGAAGGCTTCTCGCCCAATGCGCCTCACTGCTTTGGCCAGCCGAAGTTGTTGCAGCTGCGAGCAGT